ATTGTGCATCCAGTCTGGGAGGGGCTGGGGCAGAGAGACAGACTTACTTTGATGAACTGCATGTCCAGCTTGGTGTTCTTCTCCATGTGCTGGAGCAGGTCTCCATGGAATGTCTGCACCTGAGTGGAGCACAGGCTGGGGGTGACCAGGATGCCCTTGGACCCCAACAGCTTTACTTTTTATCACGATGCTGCCCACCAGGCTATGGCCCACATAACAGAGAAATGGGGACGATAAGGTCGTGTGGCTGGAAGGAAGAATGCAGAGTTTACCAGGCTGCTGGCTTGGAATCTGTCAATGTGTTGAAGGCTCCTAGGTCTCAATTTTTTAGTCAGTCTGGGCCCTGTGTATTCATTCTGTTTCCTCTGCCTGTAGTTTCTGCTCCATCCTCAAAAGCTGCTTTCCTTCCCTTCTGCTAAGAACCCTTCCTGCCTCCCCAGACGGAATCCACCACCTGGCCCTTGATGGTTTCTATAAGGCACACACACTCCTTTGCTTTCCCAGCCATGGGGAAGAATTTACTACAGTTCCCTGTCTACAGTCCACTGGAACTGCAGTGAGTATAAGGGAAGTGAAGCTCTGGTCCCCAAAGCATGGCAGAGCCTGGCCTATATAAGAGTCCAGAGCTGCAGAGGCCTGGGAAGGGGGAGGCAAGAGGGGAGCGCCTCACAAGCACCCCTGGGGGAGGGGCAGGAGAAGGCTGCTGAGCCGCGGGTCTAAAGACCTGTACATCAGCCCTCATTCTACTTCCAATGTGCTTTGTGACTTTGTACTAGCTGATGTCTCACTCTGGGCCTCAGTTTCCCCAGATGCTCTCTAAGAACCTGATGAGTTCTGATGCTGTGGACTGGGTAGGGTGCTGGCACATTCTTATTCCCTGTAATCCTCGAGATGCTGGGCAGAGTCAAGCCTGAGCCATTGGGTGTTAGCTGCAAGGGAACAGGTCACCTCCGCCCCTCTGACATGCTCACTTCTGCCTGCTCTGAATGCCTTTCCTGTACCCTTTCTTCACCCGTGGGAAGCTTCCTGCTGTGCCTGGCCCCTTTCCATGGGGCTAAGGTACCACACAAAAAAGGAATGCTGTGAACTTCCCTGTGTGCAGAGAGTTAGTATGCTGGAACATTCTTAAGGTTCTCCCAAGGTTGTTCTTTTTTTGGTAAAAATTTATTTTTTATGTATGCAATGTTTTACCTGCAGGCCAGAAAAGGGAGCCAGATCACATTATAGGTGGTTTGGGGAATTGAACTCAGGACCTCTGGAAGAACAGCCAGTGCTCTTAACCACTGAGCCATCTCAACTCCATGGTTGTTCATTTGCTCTTTTTTTCCCAACATCACCCTTCCCAGGGATTGCCACCGCCCTCTGCTGGCCTTCCTGCTTCTGTCCTCCTCCCCTGAACTAAAGGCTCTTGGTATGGAAGCCACACTCGTCCTATTAGAATATAAGTCAAGCAGTGAGCAAGTCTCGCTATGCAGCCCAGGCTATCCTTGAACTCAAAGTCCTCCTGCCTCTGGAGTGTTGTGGTCACTGTATGTGCCACTTCACCTCACTAAGCTCCAAACAATTGGAAAATGAAGTTGGTAATGCCATTTACGGTGACTTCAAAAACATCAGATAGGGCTGTGGATGGCTTGGTGGGTAAAGCTCTTACACAAGAGTGAGGATCTGAGTCAGAAACCCCAGAACCCATGTAAAGCAGTATACAGTAGCCCAGAGAAACCCAGTGAGCCTCTGACAAGATGGAAGGAAGAGACAGAAGAAACTCGCAGGCCAGCTAGCCTGGTATAGACCTTGGCAAACAACGAAGACACCATATCTCAAACATGTAGAAGGCTAGGACTGAGACCTGAGTTTGCCCTCTGACCTCCACAACTGCGCCATGGCTTGGGCATGCCCAGTCCTCACACACAATGAATGCACACATATATAGTGCACACAACACTCACAAAGACTTTAAGACATCCAATAACCAGGAACTAACCTGTCCTAGGATGTGTAAGACTGCTATGGTGAAAGTAATACAACACTACGGGGGCTCTAGCATATGCGTGATCTGAAGACGTATGGTTAAGGTGACTCCCCACCCCCCAGAGCAATCCTTGTCAAATTCCAGCAGGCTTTCTTGAAGAAACCTACAGGCTGAGTCCATGATTTATAAGCAAATGGAAAGAGAAAAACAAAAACAAAACAAAAAGCTGGGAGGTGGTAGTGCACACCTTTAATCCCAACACTCAGGAGGCAGAGGCAGGAAGATCTTCATGTTTTCGAGGCCAGGCTGGTCTACAGAGTGAGTTCCAGGACAGCCAGAGTCACACAGAGAACCCCTGTCTCATAAAACCAAAATAATAGTAATAATAATATGAACAACAGATGGATGGATGGATGGATGGATGGATGGATGGATGGATGGATGGATGGATTGCAGGCAAATGATCAAATGATCTCAGCGAAGAGAAGTGGTGTTCTTAGCCAGCCTACTCTCAGAGCTCACCCTCAACTACACGGAGGACACCATGGGACCAGCCTATGGACAGAAAGTCAGCATGGAACAGAACAAGAGCCCAGACATGCTTCCCCCGCCCCATGTCCACTAGTCAGTTTCCAGCCTACTGATGGCTGAAGGAAACTTTCCAGTGGTGTTGGGATATCTGATTATCCTTGGTGTGTGTGTGTGTGTGTGTGTGTGTGTGTGTGTGTGTGTGTGTGTGTGTGTGTGTGTGGTGACTGACTCTACATACAAGGACAGATTTGAGAAGGATCAGAAACAAATGTGAGGTCCAGAAGACAGAGTTTTCAGAGGAAACCAAAAGGACACCTTTGCCATAGAGCAGCAAACATTTCTCTTTTCTTTCTTTCTTTCTTTCTTTCTTTTTTTTTTTTTGGTTTTTCGAGACAGGGTTTCTCTGTGTAGCTTTGGAGCCTATCCTGGCACTTGCTCTGGAGACCAGGCTGGCCTCGAACTCACAGAGATCCGCCTGCCTCTGCCTCCCGAGTGCTGGGATTAAAGGTGTGCACCATGCACCACCAATGCCTGCAAACATTTCTCAGTAAGATGTAAGCATGGAAATTCCTGCTCATCGAAGACTGGTCAGGATGCAGAGATGGTGTGGGGGTAAAGGCACTGGCTGATCTTGCTGAAGACCTGGGCTCAGTTCCCAGAACCCACATAGTAGTTCATAATCATCTAGAACTCTAGTTCTAGGGGATAGTCTTTTGGCCTCCACAGGCATTGCATACAAATATACATATAGGCAAACACTCATACATATGAAATAATTTTTAAAAGACTACACTATATGTACATAATTTTTTGTGAGAGGGTTTTTCTGTATAACCCTAACTGGTCTGAAGCTTGCTATATAGACTAGGCTGGCCTTGAACTCAGAGATCTGACTGCCTCTGCCTCCCAAGTGCTGGGATTAAAGGCGTGTCCTACCACACCTGTGAATAGAGGGGCTGGAGAGATGGCTCAGTGGTTAAGTATACTGGTTGCTTTTCCAGAGGACTTGGGTTCAATCACCAGCACCAACATTATGGCTCACAGCCATCTCTAACTCTGGTCCTAGGATATCTGACACCTTCCTCTGGCCTCTATGCTGACGAAACACCCATACACATAAAATAAAAATTTAAAAAATAAATAGGTACTTAGTTATGGCACCAATAGACCATAATATCAACTAGCATGGCACAATAGATAACTCAAGGGTGCAGTAGTGGTGTGCATACATTGGTGGTAACAAGCAGCTCTCTAATTGGACCTAAAGCCTGCTCAACAAGAGGAAAACCATATGTGGTACTGGAAACCTAGCCAACTACTCAGTGCTAATGATGTCACGGCTCTTGGAAGAGAGCCCACAAGCACTTAACCAGCCCAGCACAATCCCTAACTACACTCTAAACATTTGTCCTTATATCCATAGGTAAGTGTGCTTCTTACCCCTCATCAAGGAAGCTTGTCTTTGCAACAGAGACCATTACAGAAACCCACAACCAATGCGGAGTCATGGAGCCCAGTACCAATGGTTACACCTCTAAAATACTCCTGCACCTAAGCTTCAAGGAACACTGTGGAAGAGAAGATTGCAAGATTGTAAGAACCGGAGGATCGGGGTGTTTGCTATGAGATTGTGTCCCATAGCAATGTCAGAAGCTACACCCATAAAGCCTCACCAACATGACTGCCCAAATGTGAGCTGAACAAGGACGCTGATAGACATGTCAGTGTGGGAAACCCCACAAGGGAAAACCCACAAGGTCTCAACACTACACAAAGAACTACTTGGCCACTAAGGGATGCCCAGAGTGGGAGAAATAGTCTTCCTTGGGGAAGAGGGCCAACTGGTAATCCAATACCAAAAGGTCAGCCATGAAAACACACATACGAGGGGCTGGAGAGATGGCTCAGTGGTTAAGAGCACTGGCTGCTCTTCCAGAGGTCCTGAGTTCAATTCCCAGCAACCACATGGTGGCTCACAACCATCCGTTATGAGATCTGGTGCCTTCTTCTGGCCTGCAGGCATACATGCAGACAGAACACTGTACACATAATAAATAAAAAATCTTTAAAAAAAGAAGAAATTATACAGACAGAGCAGGTCACAACTGGGGACATATATGTACATATATATGAATGTGACAATTAATGAAAATAAATTATGTAGATAATTAATAAGGCCATGAATGTGAAAGAAAGGAAGGAGGACAATTTGGAAGGGTTTGGTGGGAGGGAGGGGAGGAGGGAGATGATGTAACCTCAAAAATAAAAGAAATAAGTAGAAAGAAAAAGAAAACAGATGGTTAGATAACTGGTCATGGGTGCATGCCTGAAATCTTTGCATATAAAAGGCTAAGACAGGAGAGTGGTGTGAATTCAAGGCCAGCCTGGGCTATGTAGAGCGACACTGTCTAAAAAGCCCATAAAAAAAGAAAAAAACAGACAAGCTAAGACTGGGGAAAGGTGGTCCCTGAATATTTACATCTGACAGAGGCTCATATTTTGATTATACAAAGAACTCCTATAAGCCAGACATGTTGGCATTTTTCTGTAATCTTAGCACTTGGGAGAAAGAGGCAGGCAGAGGTCTATGAGTTTGAGTTACATAGGGAGATCCTGTCT